AACCAAAGCCCTGAAAGTACAGCACCCTCCACAGTTGGTCCAGAGGATGGGAGACCCCCAAAGTTCAGGTTCCCGGCAATCTTAGTGGAACCTAGTTCTGAGACATAGTGTCCAGTGGATAAAACTTCAGCTAAGATGCAGAAGATACCAAAGTTGAAAAGTATCCCAAAGTCTAGGAGGAAGGACAAATATGGCGAATTTAATAATTACCACTGGACTGAGCAACATCTGGAGGCATCACAGTTCACTTATGCACGATCAGTGTCCTACAAAGTGGCTCAAAGTTCAGTGAGTTACCTATGACAGGTCTCAGCAAGCCTCCAGACAGCAGAGTAGTGGCCTATGAAGGCAGCCCCTGAGTTTAGGGATCAGAGGTTAAGCTACATTCAGAAGCTGTACCAAGATATTGAAGTCCAGGGCTTTTAGGTACAGGGTTGACCATCAAAGCTCCATGCACAGGTTGGAACTGAAGCTCTGAATCCAGAGCTGTGTGCTCCGTGACCACCAACCTGCGCTTCTTGACTGGACCCTGGTGGATCGGCTCTTGAACCCTTAGTTGACGGGAAGGATGGCCAGCTGACAGGTGGGTATCTGGGACAGATGGACGCTGGGAGGCCAGTGGGCCTCGGCTGAGCTCTTGGGAGCTGTAGGCTGTGGCCCTGGACCTGGCAGCAGCATCTCTGGCAGGTGGTCGCCCAGATGCACAACAACGATGACCATGATGCACATTCCTGCTGCAGCAGGTCTCACTGCAAGAAGCCACAGTCAGAGGGGGTTGCAGAGCCTGTCTAAGCCTGAAGTGCCTCAGGCCCAGTGAAGCTCTCCTGGCTGCACTGACATCCTTCCAAGAGATCAGGTCCTGCTTCTGGGGAGGTATGAGTTTCCTGTGGTCCATTACCGCCCGGTCTTGACCCTGTTTCCACAGCTCATATCGCTCAGGTTGAAGGATGCGCACAAAAGCATCCATGGAAAAGCTGACCCTCACCTCCCCACAGCTGCACTGAGATGCCACTTTACCATAATCGATCCACCGAGGGGTGGCAAAATTGATGGCCTCTGCACAGTTGAAGCCATGGTTGAAGCCAGCGTGATGGCCATAGGGAAACATCACCATGAACTCCCCAGCCTCCTGAGTCACACAGCTGAAGGGGATCCCATTGTCCCTGAGCACTGTGGGTGAGATGAGAGCCACCTTGTGCCTCAGGAAAGCCCCACAGCCCCTGGAGCTGCCTGGGAAAAGCTCCCTGGCTAGGAGCTCCAAGCACTGGCCATGCTCTGGGGGCACCACATACCAAGTTTTGGGCTCCCCAAAGTGCAGGTAGTTGATGCTGTAGAGGTCCATGTCCTCCGTGTGCCACACGAACATGGTCTTCCACATGCCAAAGTACAGGTAGGGTGTGTTGACTCCCTCGATGACAACTCCAGATTCCTGCTCCAACAGATCCAGAATGGTTCCCAGGCGCCCAAGGTTCCACTGCTTTGTGTTTTCATCAAACAAGGAGCCGCTGATGTCAGCACCATAAATGGGGCAACCATAGAGGCGATCCTTCCAGTATTTTCTCTCCAAATCTTTAAAACTCTGGTGTGGAGGAGTCTGGTACTTTTCACTGTTGGCCAGGTGGCGGTACTC